ACGGGGCAGCCCCGCCGGGCCGCGCGGCGCCCCGAGCCCACCCAAGCGCCGCTGGCACAGCCCCGCCACGGCCGCGCGGCACGAGCGCTGCCCCCCCCACGCCGCTCCCCGGATTTTAGGAGCTTCCCCCGCCGCGGCGGAGCGATTGACAGGCACTCGCTTAGCCTCCCCAGCCAAAGCGACAGCAGGGGCCTAAGGACCCCCACCGGGGACCTTGCATGACGTCGGGCCCCTTCTTGTGACGTCACCGCGCACGGGAGACTATCGCCGCGCCCCTCAACTGGAAACGTCACCGGGCAGACTGGTGAGGCCCCGGCGTCTCGCGAGATGTGAGTGATATAAAAGCAGCGCGCGCAGCGTTTTGCTCGCCATTTTGTGAGGGGCTCTCTTCTTGGAATTATGAGTATTATTATATTAAATAATGACAATAAATAAAAATACTCCTCACTGGGGAATAATTAATATTTTTGTATTAAATAATAATAATAATAATAATAATGACTAATAATGACAATAAATTGTGACAATAAATAAAAACACTCCTCACTAGGGAATAATTAATATTTTTATATTAAATAATAATAAAGACTCCTCAGTGGGGCATAACTAATATTTTTATATTAATAATAAAAACAACTACTCAGTGGGGAATAATATAATAATAATAGAAGGATGCTTTAGTGGGGAATAATATTATATTAAATAATAATGGAAAAGATGCCTCAGTGGGGAATATTAAATAATAAAAATAGAAAAAACTTAATGGGGAATAATTAATATTATTATAGTAAATAATAATTTAAAAAGAGACTCCTCAGTGGGGAAAGAGCTGGTGCCTCGTAGTCGTGAGGTGGTGGGGGCTAGGCCAGGCTCAGGCCCCCTCATGCCTCAGAGGGCGCTGGGCCAGCGCTCTGCCCCCGCAGCCTCTGGGGAATGTCTCCTGCCTCCAAAAAAGAGGGGTCAATGGCTGCTGCAGAGCTACTGTGGCAATGGGGGCTAGTGGACGAGCGATTCTCACCCAGCCGTGCCTGGCAGTGCTCTCAGGTGCCCCGCTGGGTGCGCAAGCGTGACTTGCAAGATCAACCCAGAGACTGCAAGCCATGTCCAGTGTTAAAAATAATTCTGACTTTGTGGTCTTCCTTATCGTGGCAACAGAAAGGCCCGCTGTCTTATTTTCCATTGTGAAAAGGAAGAGCTAGCATTTTCCAAGAGCTGCCTAAAGTGCAGCATGCGCTGTCTCGAGTCCAAGACAGTTGAGGGGTGCTGGCTTTGCCCCTCACAGGTCAGGCTCCAGGCCCTGGGGACGGCGGAGGCACTTCTACCAGTGGTTACAGCCTCAGGTCGACCTCAGGAAATGCCTCAGCTGGCCTGTGTGTGGTCCAGCCCCTGCTGGGTGCGAGTTAATGGGGGGGGAGGGTCACGTATGGAAGTTATCCTTTTCAGGACCCCTACAGAGGTGCAACTGGAAATCATGTAACTCGCTCCCTTTTAAATAACAAATCACCCTCTGATAAGTAACAGTAACTTAACAGTGCAGCATCCAAGTTCAAGTAAAGTCTACTTGAACTTGGATGCTGCAATGTTAAGACACCCCATTTTTAAAGTAAATTTACATTTGTTTTGGACCAGTGCCGGCCAGCACCCTCCCTCTGGGCTCTCGCTTCTCTATTGCAGCACAGTTGATCAAATAACCGGTAAATTGAGCAGTTCTTAGGTCACTGCTTTCATCGAGCCGGTAGCTGCATTGTGTAAAGAAGGGGCTGTCTCCTGCTTGCTTAATAAAACAGATGCAGAGACCGTCACCATCATGGCAAAGGCCCATCACAATGTGCTACGTGCTGCATGTTAAGACGTCTTAGCGGCCTGTAGATGTCAGTCGAGTACCTTTAACCGAAAGAAGCATTTCCCCATCATCCCTCCTACTTCTCAACTCTTTAGCTTTGTTTGAAGATTAATACCGAGGATGAAGTCCTTCAAGAAAACCTCGCAGCACTGAGTCAGGCCTCAGCTTTGGTTCCTGTGGACTTCATGCCAAAGTGAAGAACTAGGCCAATGTCTTTTGAAAAAATAAATAACGTCTCCACGCTCTTTAAATCAGGCAACGTTTAAGACCACACCAACATCGATGAAATATTCAGCCACAATTCAGGATCAGCTTTATCAAGTAGAGCAGACTGAACAGCATGTTTACTATGAAAGCTATACGTAATGCAAGCAGATTTCAAATGACTGTTTCAAGGCGACAAAAAGGTTTATGCTTCAAGATTCACAGTTTGATACATTATCGAAATCTGAAGCCATATGTACTCCCAGAATATCAGAAGCTAGTATTACACAACCAATCTTTGCTGCTTATAGGACCCAAATCCTGCTTGCAATGTTCACATAAATCAGTGCCTCGTTGTAGACTGAAATTTGGCAAAGAGATTTATTATTTAAAAAAAAAACACAATCATCCACCCAGCCAACTATAAGCTTTTAATTAGCTGTTTAGAGGAACTGTAGTTTCACAATGCATCCAAAATGATGTTTTTAATATTGAAAAGAAAAACAACCCACATTAGAGGCTTCAGGTACAAATGCAACAAGAAATTACCTAAACGCGTCACCCATTAATGTAAAGAGATTTGTGTTTGTTATCAAGAAAATTAAAGCCAACTGATGTTTCAAACAGGTAAAGAACACAGAAGTGCCTCAGGCACCTTTTCTCAAGAATATTATCTTAATATTTAGTTGTATTTAGTACTCTTCACTTTTGTACTTATGTTTTTGTTTGCTTTAAAAAACATTTCCCTATTTCCCTATCCTGGTAAACTTCAATTGCACTGTAGTCTTCAAATGCACCTTGCAGAGAATACGTCCTTTATGAGTTCTTCTGTGGGATTTTGATTGTTACCTAGAAACAATAACATGGGTTACTTTCCTCCATGTCAAAAGCACGTGAGGTTCATTTTGTTCACTTCTATGGTTCTATGCTGTTACCTTCTCACTCTTCTGCTCAAGTGCAAGTACCATGGAAGAAAAGGGACTATGCTCCAGTTATTAAAGGTGCTGATTGATATTCAAGTTCCTATCTAACAGGCAAAACTCCTTTCAGGCAACATACATTAATCACGCAGCCTTCATTCCTTCTTCAAAGGAGTTTATTCAAGAGGCACAATATTTTGAGTAAAATTCAGCATTACCTCATTTACAACTAAATTCAATTAAAACAAATAGATTCCAAGAGGTTTCTCAATTACAGCATTCAGTGGAATTGGCAGCAGATGAGTTAGGACTCTTGGGTTTCATTTGTGAATCTATGATTGGCTATGTTACTGATCTACATTTAGTTACCCATGTCCCTTCACACACTTTCATGAAGTTTTGTTCACTATTTGTGCTGGCATTTTGCAAAGAATGAAGTGCTACAGAAGCTTCAAGCTTTCTCCCTTCCAAGATTAAGGGAGCAAGCTTGAGAATGACCCAGTTTCCATCTACTTACCTGGTGTGAAAAGGCATAAAAAGCCACATCCTTCTGAATTTCTCACCCCACTGCCCTCATTCCAAGACATGCAGATACTCACTGTTTTCACTTCTGTATATGCCTCCAGGCCATACTCCCCTAGCTCTCGCCCGTTCCCAGATTCTTTGTACCCACCAAACGGGGCTTGAGCTCCAAATACATCATAACAGTTGATCCTGGAATAAAAACCAAGTGTTAGAAGCAGTTTCTCTTCCCAGAGCATCTACCAGGATCAAGGACTATCCATGAAGATTTCCTTCTTGTACCCATGTGAACTGTCCATTCGTTAACCAGGGAGGACATTTAATTTTAGGGGACGCTTGTCCACATCTATGAGGATTACCCAATCCACACCACAGTCTTTCTGACTGAACACATCCAAATCACTCAGCATCCAGAGTCAGGCAGGTGGGAGATAAGGGGTTCACTATACAATTTTCCCCAATGCAAAACATGTTCCCTCCTCTTGCTCACCAAGCCTCAGTGGGACCTTGCAAGCTCATCAGATTGCCTAGCTTTTGCTATACAGAAGGGCTGAAACTTTCACTTAGCACTTGGGGTCTTTCATGTTAGGTGCAGCTTGGCTTTGCACTGAACTGTAGCATGAAACGTTGTTCATTGCAAGGAGGCTGCTTAGACAAGAAAGCCAAAGCTTGTGAGACAGCTTCTAAAAAGTTCACGGGAAAGATTGGGCAATAGAGGTCCTATGCATAGGCTCTCACCAGACAGTTCCAGCTCGCAGTGCTTGAGACACGTAGTTTGCTTTGTCGATATCTTTTGTGAAGATAGCTGCTGCCAGGCCATATTTAGAGTCGTTTGCTCTCTCAATGACTTCCTCAACAGTTTTGAACTTCAAGATCTGCATGACTGGCCCAAATATCTGAAACCAAAACAGAACGTGTGACGTACACATGTATGCCATAGCACCAACGGAAATTACAGGCCTGATGCAGAAGTTACTGAGTGTGGTTCTCTGGCTTGTGTTGTATAAGGGGCAAAATAAGTTTCTGGATAATATATTGTCTGTCTCGCCTTGTTCCAGCAAGTTAGAGCTCAGATAAAAGAAAGGCGATTTAGGATTCCCATCTGCAATCTGCAGATGTCTGGTCCCTCGATTCCCAGTTGTGTCAGCATCAAGAGAAGTAAAAGCCACACGCATGAGAAATTTGACATTTTAGCAGCATGAAGGTTCACAAAGACAAAATCTGCATGACGCTATTGTTTTAACCTCCTCTGTAGCAATGGTCATGTTGTCCTGCACATCTCCAAAGATGGTTGGCTGGATAAAATAGCCTCTGTCTGCAGCAGGGTTGCCACCACACAACAGCTTGGCTCCTTCACGCTTCCCAATACTGATGTAACCAAGGATCTTCTTAAACTGCTCCTCATCTACCTAAAACCATTAAAAATAGCAGTAAGTCAGCTTGATCCTATAGAGGAAGAAAAGATTCTGTTTCAACCTGTTCTACATAAGAGCTCTTTATATCAGAGTTAGAAACCCTACTTAATGAGATTTAGGCATGCAACCTCTACACGCCTTTCGTTCTAGCTTACAGATGGACCCTACATGAAAAACTGGAACTACAGATTAGAAGCAGTTCAAGTGAAAGAAAACAAATGTTGTGCTCTCACCTGCGGTCCCTGTTCAGTTTTGAAGTCAAATGGGTTTCCAACCACTCTGGCTTTGGCTCTCTCAACACTCCTCTCCACAAACTCATGATATATATCTTCTTGGACATATGTCCGAGACCCAGCACAGCAGCACTGCCCTTGATTGAAGAACAAGGCAAAGTGGGATTGCTCAACCGCCCAGTCCACTAGGAGATAAATGTGGGCAGACAGAGACAGGTGTTTAGAGGAGAACCAGCCACAGAAACAATCTTCATCACCGTTGAAGGCTACGAACCGCCTTCAGCTAACATCCATTTCACATGGAATGTGTGAAAATGAGAGTCTTCATGCCAAACAGGTCATCCTCTAGCTCAATCCCTCCCTCGGTCTGTGGCATCCATTTGACATGACCCAGGTCTTGATGCCCATTTGTTTGGATCAAAATAAGCTTCCCTTTCCCACTACCACTTAATAGGATGTGCCAGGTTCCTACCTCAAGTGAAGGGAAAATCCATAAGGAAGAAAAATGGGAGAAGGGACTAAAAAACCTGGAAGAAATTAGAAGGAGGTAGGCACAGAAGCATACCAAAACCAAGTGGAAAGAATGGGAGGAGAAACACTGCTCACTACAAAAGATAACAAAAAGCTCAGATGAATAAGCAAAGGAAATAAAGGGAAAAAAAGGAATTGGAAAGTCATTATGAAGCAGAAGTTGAACTTTAGGTTAAATTAAGTTCCTCCACCTCCATCCATTACTTCTGTTGTTTTGAAATGCTGACACATGCACCATAAGCAGAAAAATGGGAAGAATATATTATGCTCTCTGGTCATCTTGGTATACGCTGTGCCCAAGACAAGCCAAGTGGTACTGATGGGTTTCATGGGACAGAAATTCCACGATTCCCCCCAAGCCCATCTCATCATTTCCCCACCAACATCATCAAAATCTACAGCTCAGTCACTATGCTGAATCTTACTGTCAGCGTCAGACAAGATGATGTTTGGGCTCTTCCCTCCAAGCTCCAGCGTCACTTTCTTTAAGTTACTCTCTGCCGCAGCCTTCTGGATCAGATGCCCAACCTGAATCCAAAAAATGAGAACTGTTATTAGGAAACCAAATCTCCTTGACTTAGTTAAGAAGAGTAGGTCTGTTAGTGCTTGTTCCTCAGAGGCTCACTTGGAAGCCACTCACACTGCACCATACTCTGACAGCCCTACCCCTGCCAGGTAGTACTGAGCTCTGCCGGTGCGGCAATCGCTGTACAGATAATCCCACTGATATAAAAGTGGAGTAAGCAGAGCAAAACCCAGCTGCTTGTTTCCCAGCTCTTTCATAGATTACCCTAGTGTCTCTGGGCAAATCACTTAACTTGTCAAACGTCTTTCCTCACAACGAAAGGTTTAATGGAAAGTGCAGAGACCCTAGGACAGATTTGTGTGTTCAGCCTTCAGAAAGTTTTCACGTCCATCCCACTGCCACGCTAAGGAGTCAGCAACCCGATTTTCAGAGAGGTTGCCCACAGCTCCTACCAAAGTCCATTAACGAAAGCTGCCCATGATCAGAACGCCTAATCGTCTGAACCATGTGCACACCTTACGTGGCTTTAATTCTAGAGAGGGTAAACAAGCGTTATTAAAAAAAATACCTATATGAGATTAAGCTCTTTGATTTTTCTGGAAGTCCTAGTTATTGCAACACCAACTAGTGCTGGTCATCTCACCTGGCAGGCCAAGTAGTCTTAGGCATTTGTCAGCAGTTTATTCTAATCCCTTCATTGTCAGGGCCCCAGCCGAATAAAGTCTCAGCAGAGATTAAACTTAACCTACAATAGGAGCAGCTCACCAGAAATAATCTTCTGTAATAAGTACTCTTCCAAATGGACTATCTCAACAGAGAAAGCCTTAATAGGGGTAAAAATAGATCTTGCAGCTTCGAGCCAGCTGCTTTAAAAAAAGACCCCAAAAATGAAGGCGAAATGTTTCTGGTGATAGGTGCAGAACACAATATTAAAATGAACGGAGGCTCCCTTCCAGCCCCACAAGCCGCAAGTATCTAGAAATGTTGCTTCTCACCTCAGTGGAGCCTGTGAAGGCCACTTTATCCACCTGCATGTGGGATGAAATGGCAGCTCCTGCACTCGGCCCGTAGCCCGGAACAATATTAACCACGCCTGCGGGGAACCCAGCCTGTGAGTTCACAAGCAGAAGATAAATGTTACTTCACAATTGCCTCGACGGGTCAAGACAACGTGCACCACTCACTGGTCACACCAGCTTCTTACCTCCCACCGGCAAAGAACAGGGCCCCGTTCTATCCCACTCCCATCTGCCAGGCTTATAGCGTCTTTATTTGGTTTGCTAGCCCACGGGCAGTTGCCGTTTGGTCACAGCCTGCCTTCACAGCTCAATGCTAGGAAGCCAGCCTATGCATCCCTCTGGCTCATTCTTCCCAGCGCCTGCAAAGGAACCTGTAACTCCCTCTTTTCTATTGCTCCACGGCCATCTTATACTGCATAATCACAGACTGAAGTGTAAGTAGGAGGCTGGGTCCAACCCTGCTTACTGTCTCACCTCTTTGATCAGACTGGCCACATAGAGAGCAGACAGAGGCGTTTGCTCAGCTACTTTCATCACAATCACATTCCCAGTGGCTAAGGCTGGCCCAATTTTCCATGCCTGCATCAGCAGTGGGAAGTTCCACTGAAAGACATAAGGAGATACTTTCACATCTGACCAAAATTCACAAAAGAAATGAATACGCAGCAGACTAATCTTCAGCCAGTGTCGTCATCTTAACTCCACTGAAGGCAGTTTCGCCAGCTGTAGGAGTTAGCCCACCGTTGTTTTCTTCCCCGTCCCTGCTTTAGGAAACACTTTAGATTACAAATGCGCGGTTCCTTTCACAATTCATGCACTTAATGCACGTGCCGCACAGAGAAACTGGACTAGTCATTCGCTGGTTGGTGTCTGATCTTTGATACTTCTCACTCAAATGGATTTTGCATTGTGAACTCTGGTGCAACATGTCACGTGTTTCTCATTTGCGTCACGTTCACTATTGGTACGTACCCAAGCTTCTCACAAATCGGGAGGGATTTTAGTCTCAGAACACCTCTGTAAGGTAGAAGACTTTCTATTTCACTGATGTGGAAATTAGCAAAGTGATTAAGCAAGCTGCCTGGGGCTGCACTGTGAGCGGAGCCAGGAATGAACACAGGAGAGAGACCCAACTCCCAGTCTAGCACAGGAACCACTAGATGCCCATGTCCTCTTTGGGCTGCGTATGGATGCTGCGAGAGCCGCAGACTTCAAACCTTTGGGAAACAGTAAAATTAGGTATTAGGAATCAGTTTAATCTTCTAGGGTTAGATGACAGGAAAGCTGCCGCTTCACTTTTTTGTTCTGATGTGTCAGAAGAGAAGAGACTGCTGCACAGAGCAACAAACTGGGATCCTACCACCAATGCTGCATGGGAGATATACGGCAAGAACCACACGGATGCTTCTCACAGATGTCATTTTTAAATCTGTGGCATACTTTGGGGTGGAGGCGGGTAAGGAATGAATCTATTTTTAGGGTGACCTCTGACTTTAAAGTAACCTTTGGAATGTGATGTTCAAGGATTAACTTCATTAAGACCTAAAGCTTCATTTGCTGGTCACTTCCTAGCCAGATGTTCCTAGCTGAGATGTTAAAGGAGTGTGCCTGGAAGAGCTTGCTTCCAGAAAGGCCAGTATTATACCCACTGGCAGATTAGGAATCCAGACTAAGTGGTTTACAGTCAATTCCAGCTCATCAGGACAGCCACAAATAAAGTACATCACAGCCCAAATTTGAACATTCATGGATTTTTGTAATATTACCTACAGAAGAAAGCTTAAACATGGCCTCGTTACAGGCAAATCACTTCTTTGTACGCCTGCCATAATTCATTGCAACAAGGCAACACTCAACTTCAAATGCAACCAAGTTAGCCTACATTTCATGTGCTGACCTTTTTTTAAATTATTATTCTAAGGTCTCGTCTCTACTAGTAATTTGAGCATATAAAGCACTTGATATCCTGCATGCCAGACTGGACTGAGCTATCAGTGACTGTGCTCCTTGCTGGGGGGAGGGTTAAATTGGACACACACACACTCAAAGCTTGGCTGCTAATTATACCAACCTGCTTTCTGCTGCAACAGCTGCGTACAAACTCAGTGGGGCACAAGTATAATTTCCCTTCAGAATCAGAAGGAAAGTTGCCTAACAAAGGGCAACAGCTTTCATTTAGAGCCACTCTTATGTCTGAGAAGCGCATTTCAGTAATATTGCAGGACCACAAGAGGCATGTTTCTTACCGGAATGATCTGTCCGCAGATCCCAACTGGCTCATGTCTTGTATAACAGAAGAAGTCTCCATCTATGGGAATGGTTTTGCCGTGGCACTTATCAGCCCAGCCTGCAAAGTACCTGGCAATGACATTGTTTTAGTCACTGGATTTAAGACAGGAAGTCTCCCATGCCAGGGAAGAAAAGCACCCGCCTAGTCACTTCACAAAACAGGTATTAACAGTTAAGCCTGCTCATTTTTAAAGGGACTGTCTTTTTAAAGAGAATCATTTCCCTATGAAATCTCTTAACTGTGCTTATTTATATGTCAAGTACAGAAGGAAGAAGTAGTTTCTCATTTACTGTACGTGTTTCAAAGCACTTTTTAATCAGTATCTTTGTTTCCGCAATATGACAGTTCCTCCTGTTTGGGTCTTTTGTATAACAAAGCGGGGAAAGCGATTAGACGACACCCATTCTCAAAGCAGGTCTCTAGGTCAGGGGTCCCACGCAATCAGTCTGTGGTTCATCTGTGCTTTGCAGAGGCTTCCTCCTCACACCATTTGTTCTCAGCTGTCCTCTCTCCATCCACCCCGGGCGCTCTGGCCCACAGCCAGCCTGGAAACACGTGGTCGCTTCCTTTCCCTGCTTCCCCCAAGGGCTCTGGGATTTGCAATCCAAGACCACAGCCAGCAGGAGGCTGCAGTGTTGCTCCCTTCGGTTACACATTCAGCTCACATTGCAATGCACACAGGGTGTTACATTACACAACACATATGTTACACAGCTTCAACTCAGGATGGGACAGGGGCATTTTACTTATCACCTGCCCGGTCTGTCCACATATCACCACAATGTTAAGTAAACTCATGATATTATATTAAATGATATTACATTAAAGACCCCACCAGCCTTTCCTGCTCAAGTGCAGGGGGGCTGGACCCAGTGATCTGCAAGGTCGTTTCCAGTCCCTAACAACTATGAAACGATAAATAAAGGGCAGGTCAGAAGGCACTGAAACCAGAGGAGAGAACCCCTTCTCTTTTAAGATGGCTTAGGGGGTCTCCTCTCCTGATCAGCATGGACCCAACTGGCGCAGTCCTTTTCAGGGGATCGCTTTTCAGGTGTTGCTGCGTCGGGCTGCAATCCCCAGAGGACCAGGCTGCAAACTCTACCTGCCCCACCAGTCCAGAAGCACTTTTATTTTTTTGCTGGGCAAGTAACATCGCCCTGACATTTTCATCTCCATCCTGGTGACAGCAGTGGGAGACGGCTGTGTTCCACAGCTCATGCATTTTTGCCAAGGCTGATGGGGTGGCATATGCTCCAAGGAATTATAACTCCAGCTGAAATGCTACAAAAATGCCACACCTAAAGGACTCAAGAGGCAAAGCCCACTGGCATAAGATATGCATCGCCAGAAAGTCCCCAGCTAGCAACTTTACTACAGCAGGTCATTAGAAACCAGCAAGAGCTGCTCAAGTGGCGTCTTTTTCTCGGACTGCGCACAGCAACATGACAAACAGCAGCAGACAGACCATTTTCACTAAGCCAGGACGCAGCATGATGCACCATGCCCATACGTTTAACACGTCCAAGCACTTTCCGTCCAGAGACCTCAGATACATGGTAGCATCTTTTAATGGTAGCACGTGGCTTCTGGGATGCCCAAGGAGAGACACGTTCCTGGATAAGTCAATGCTTCATGCCCTCCCTTGCTCCCACGAGTGACTCATTAATGAGAGCTCCTACCTGAGACACTTGATTGTCATGTCCAAATCCACCGAGTAGGCTATAGAGTATGGTTTGCCATTATCCAGAGTTTCCAGAGCCTATGAGCAAAGGAAGATTGTTTGCGTATTTTCCCCACGCACAGACCCAGCTCCCAGCAACAGCCCAAGATGAGACCCAGCTCTGGGTTCTGCCTGTTATCTTTGGGCTTACGCTCAGCACACCTGACTCTGCACAGACTCTTGCTCCGTCCTGTCCACCTCCTGCACCTCGCTTGGAACTAGCTCCTTTGGAGGCTGAACGGGGTGGTCTCTCCTCTTTCCCAGGGCAAGGCCCACTGATCCCACAGCTGTCCCAGAATGGGCTCCCCCCACGTGGCAGCACTCCCAGTTTAAATGCATCAGATTTCCTGAGCTGCAGTTAAAGGACAAAGTCCGGACGTTCAGCCACTACTTTCCCCACTAAATCTATCAAACAGTGGGATGCAGGAGACCATGCCACGCGGGGCACAACAGGCAGGACAGTTGTGGAGCATGATACACACAGCCAAGTAAGCCCGGTCTCTCTCAATCAGGTCTGCAAGACAGTTCAGCAGCTTTCCCCGGTGAGAGGCATCCATCCGCCTCCATGGCGAGCCCAGCTGGAAAGCTGCTTTGGCCGCGCTCACGGCTTTGTCCACATCCGCCTGCAGAAAAGCCCAGAAAGAGAGCGTGAGTGGAGAGCACCCCGCACATGACAGCCCCCATCCCCCATTTCTGGCTGCATCCAGAGGGCACTAACTTTGCAGCGGATGCCCAACATAAGACGACACTGGCAAGACTTGACAGAGCCCCTCCAGTAGACCTGACTCAGGGGGAGCAGCTGGTACTACATGGAGACTCCTAGGGCTTCTTATAACAGGCCAGTAAGTCATCTCAGGAGGCAGGATGACTTCTCCCAGAAGCTGCTGGGAAGCTTGGAGCGCTCCACACTGAGCCACAGCCTTCCCCTGACATGCAGAGAACAAGGGATTGGGGGCCCCTCCTTCACCCTAGCAGGGGAAATTCATGGGCAAGTCCATGTCTGCATTACAGCTGGCACTTGGGGACCTGGCAGCCTAGGAGTGCAGCCTTGCTAGGGGAAAGCCAGTCCACTCTGAGTCCTGGGCTGGATGGAGGGTGCTCCAGAGCTGGGATGCTGCTGCATCTTAAACTGCTTTGAAGGGACAGGGAGAGGGATGGGAATTCCCTCCTTTCTCCAAGCCAGGTAATCCCCTACCAGTGCTTCCAGACCTTGGCATTACAGCACATGCTCTGTGGCCCTTCATTTAGTGATGAACTTTGTGCAATGAAAGGAAACTTTTCCTCTCCCACTACTGCTTCCCCCTACGGACGGAGAACCTCCTGCGGCTCTGGAAGCACAGAGCACCCATTCAGGAATTGCCTTCTAGGGACCAGCACAAGTTTCCTTGCAAGCAAGATGAGCATGCTTCCCCGACCCCTTGCAGGCTGCAATTTGATTCCAGCCCTGGGATGTTTCAAGCCATCATCAGGTACACGAACACTGCAGGGTAAATCATCCCCCCGCTAAATATGGGGCTTTTGCAAATAAACTGGCTCTGGGGGATCCTGAGCAAACTTAGTGTATTGCTGCATTACCATCTGCTGCATAGGCACAGCTGCTATCTTCCCCCCAGCTGGAGCTTTCCTGCGGGACTGCTGTGTTCAGAGATAATATTGTTACGAAACTCTCCAGATTAGATAGAGTGAAACTGGCTGAGGAGTCGGGGCCCTGCTGCTGCAGAAGACCACTGGCCTGTTCAAGCCACACGTGCCGTTCAGCATATTTCAGCCACATTATCTGCAGGGTTAACTTTTTACATTCTCCCGCAAAGCAGGGCGAGAGCCAAGCGTTCTTGTGACTGCTGCCAGGATTTATTTTCGAGTTCAGCAGGAAAGTTTTCTCAGGGACTTTTTGTCTGTCTATTTCCTCTCCAGAATCCAGTTTCACTTTTAAGGTGCCCGTCTCATGTCTCAGTTCTACCTCATACCCCAAAGAGGCAAGCAAAAGTCCAAGCCGCTTCCTCCCCCATTCCCCCACTGGGAATTTGGACAAGTTGCACCACCCTTTTAACCGCCCTTCCACTCCCAACCTCCAACAAAAGCCTCAAGTATGGAACTGAATGCTGACTTTGTGGGCAGGGCACTGGTGGAGACTCACAAGAACTGGGTTAATCCTATACAAGGATTTACCCTTGGGCAAATCACTTCATCTCCCTGTGACTGTTCCCTGACTGTAAAACAGAGATAATGTTTCCTTTGTCTTTGGAGGCAAGAAGCTTTTGGGACTCAGATGGTTTCTTACCACGTGTAAGTGCAGCGTGCAGCACAGAGAGGTCCCCGACACTATGGCATTGAGTTAGTTTGGACTGACCATGTCTTCTCCACTTCTTCTGACCCAGCAGCTCCCACCCCCGTTTCACTGTGGCCCCACCAGGCCTCCGGTCCTAGCTGACAGTGTCTTGGATCACATGTACGAACTACTATGAAATGTGGCAAAGCTGATTTTTATCCCGAGGCAAAAGCGTCCTGCCAAAACTTGAGCACCATGTCATGCCCTTCGTATCCTGCCTCTGGGATCTACTTATCCATAGTCTTAAATTACAGCAACTCTCAGCTTCTCTCTGCATGTGAAGTGAGGAAGGGTGCAGCCATCTGGGGCAGGTTTTGCAAAAGAAATAGCAGAATATCTTGGAGCAGCTAATCATCTTCTCTGCCTGCTTTGCACACATTTTTGATTAATCACTGCAAAGCAAAGCCAGGTGTTCAGGAACCGGGAATGCAAAACAAATACAGCGTTTTACTGAACCACATGGAAATGAGGCACCCACTGGCTGAGGGACAGAGAGCAAACGCATGCGATCAGGATCACCTGAAGCTCATGATTTTTGCCAGTCCTTTATATCTCAGGAACACGTCAAAGCTGTTTCTAAGACCCTGGAAAGATAACGTTTACCTTGTCACCCTCAGCAACCTGGCAAATCACCTCCCCTGTGGCTGGATTGATGGAAGGGAAAGTCTTCTTGCTGACTGCATCATGCCATTCGTTGTTGATGAAAATCTGTAGTAAAAAAAAGACATTTGTGACAAGCGTTCAAGACCTGGAGCCAGAACCAAGCAGAATCTGGAAGCTCTCCATATTTGTTTGGTGCCATCTTAAACAGGAGCCCTGAACACGGGCACCATGCCTTGCAAACCCAGCATCTCTCCCCCTCCTCTCCCGCATTTTTAAGTCGCAAGAATCTGGAAAGTGTAACATGCACGTACACACCCACACCGCTGCTCTGCATGGGTGTAATAAATAAAGCTGTGGACACAAATGACATGCCAAGAATCCCAAAGAAGCCGCTATTAAGCCTGAAGCAGCTGGTTTCACTTAACATTTTGGAACAGTTTTGTTCTTCTTGGCTGCATGAGGCGACTCAATGAGACTGGAGGCAACAGCCGTGACAGGTAGATTTCAAAATTGAGCACTATGTTTGGATATCAAGCTCCTCACTCTCAGGAGATAATCCAGGCTGGACGGCATCCTCAGAGACCGAGCTCCAGCTCTCGGCAGATACGCAGCACTGGGCTCCCCATGCGAGACCCTGCTGCTGTTTCTGCTACTCCAGCGCTCTGCCTCCTGCAGCTGCCCTGGGAAGCGAGACACGGACAATCCCTGCAGGGCCCCCGACAGCACAGCCACAAGCAGGCCACGCACACCTGGTCTGCTGGGGACCAGGCCAGGCCATCGGCCCCACACCTGCCTTCTCTCAGCTCTGAAGACCTTGCCAGAGCTGAAGGCTGGGTGGGGAAGGAAGAGGGCAGGCAACACGGAGCAAGACACAAGCCACTAGGAAGTGCTACCAAACAGATCAGATACATAAGGCGACCCCTCGATCTTGTGGATCTATCTCCAGTGGGACCTGCCTGACACCCCCGCTCCAGTCCATTCAAGACCCGGCTACCAGTCTGGATCTGGACCCCTTAAAGGCAGCCAGCACGGTATTGCCAAGGCTTCCAACGCTACCAAGCCTGCCAGAGCACCATAAAACCCGGCGATACGTCGGCACCCTGCATGTGGTCTCAGTCCAGCTCCTTGTTCAAAGGAAGAGAAGAGCAGACCATGCCTCTCTCCGCCCTTCCTATCTTCCACGTGGCACGTGCACTTGTTGCTCCTCGTCTCAAAGCTCCAGAAAGCGTGGTGACCCCTGCCATTTCTGGTCCCGGAGCTCTTCCTACAGCAAAAGCCCCGAGCCGGGCTTTTAGGCACTGCTGCAAAGAAGCTTGAACACAGCAGCCTAGTTTGTTCGATGCTTACTACGGGGGGCTGAAACCACTTGGGTGATGCAGCCCGGCTGTCGCGCTCTTCCATGGCACGGACAGCACGAGACCGGCCTGTGTGTAGGATGCACTTCACACCCCCGCAAGGCTTCAGCGGGTTCATTTAAACAACGGCAGACCCACCGCACTGAAAAAACAACCCCAAGCCTTCCATGCAAGACGCACCACGCGACCCACAAACTGCCCACAAGAAGCGGCAGTTTCAGATGTGACGCCCATGTTCAGCAGGGCATGAAGCACCGCCCCAGGGCAGGACTCCACTCCTGGGGATATAATAAATCAGCCTGGGGCCTGGGCACATCAGCTGTTGCCAGAGACCAGTTTATAGCTTTTCTCTTGGTAGCTTTTACAGTCCTTTCTCTGTTCAGCGAACAGCTGCTGCTGCTACAGCGCCTGCTCGTACATCATCTCTCCCCCAAGGGCGAAAGAGTCGTCTCTGGAGCTGCCCCCACCACGAACCGCCTTCCTCATTTAAAATGTTTGTAGCATCCCATTCTTGCTGGAATGAGAGGTCAACCTTAGACTTATCTACTGGAGCAGCCATGGTTCATTTTGATGTGGGGCACCGTCCAAGGGCAGTAAAAATGAAACAGTCTGAAGTGTCTCTTGCTCCAAAAAGCTAAGCAGCTTCAAGGCAGCCCCATTTCTCTGCCAGTGCCTGGCACCGAGCCCCACCAGCTCCGTCTCCAGCTACCCGGGCAAAGCTCAAACTTGGCAGGTCGACGCATGTGAAGTCCATCAAAGTTCTGAAAAGCAACCGGAGCTGCCAGGAAGGAAAAAGAAATGCTCCCTTGGAGACCACACTCACAACCTGCCCCGTTTAACTGCCCTCCACGGGTAACTGTGGTTGACATTATTAGCATTCTTGCGACATTTTCCCCTAACTGATGCGAGACCACTTCTGTGCCAGAGCCCGGCCAGCCGTTGCTGGCCCAACGCTGCGATCCTTTCCTTCCAAATTAAAGATTAACCCATAAGCCCTGGAGCAGTCTCCGTGCAAAGATCAGGGCGCTTCCGATCAGTAAGAGCAGGACGCTGCCCGTCTAGCAGCCACCGCTTGCATCAAACCTGTTGCACAAAAGCTGTGGTGCAAGAATTCGGAGGCCCCGCCTGTGCCACGAAGCCTGGTGGTTCTTGCAGCACAGCCGTGCTGCCGGAGGTATGAAACGACACACACTGCGAACGCCCGGGTGTGAAGGTGGCGATACCAGCCAAGAAACTCCTGTCACCACAGCGTCTCCGCAAGGCCCCTGCTTCCACAGCCACGAACGTCTAGTGTTAGACCGGCAGATGACGACACGGCTCCAGCCAAGAACACTGCATTTCTCCTGCAGGCAGACGCCCAAGCGGCATGTCCTAAGGCAACGGTAAGGAAAAGCAGAAACCTGGCTACGCAACGCAAACCCGCAGCCCGGCTTCCCCTTTCCAATGGGGCAGCTCCCGCTTCCCCTGCAGCTGCCGGCACAATGAAGCCGAGGAGCCAGCGATCATCACGATGCAGCTGAACTGAAGCCAGGGAAACTCAGGCCAGCGGCAGAGGACAAGCGCTTGTTCGGCCAGGATCCGCTGCACGGCTGCGGGAGGCCACGAGGCTCCAAAACGGCTCGTCCCAAGCACGGGCTTTCTCCTGAGAATCGTTTGCACTGAAGCACACCCCTGACACCGCGGGGCCCTTGCAGCCAGCTCCCCGCCTGGCACCCGGCAGCGCGGAAGCGTCCAGGCTGCCCGTGGCGGCGCGGCTATTTACTCAGTGCAAAACAACACGGAGCAGAGGGAACTGCACGGGCCTGCCCAGCCCCTCTCGCTTCCTCTCCAGAATAAGCCCATTTCTCCGAGTCCCCGGCACCAGCCAGGGGAAGGGAAAAGACTCGGGCCTTGCGGTCCGGGGAGGCGCCCAGAGCTTCTGGCAGGGGGAAGAAGAGAGAGAGAAACTGCTCCCCGCGTCCCTCCTGCCCTGGACCATCGCCATCGCCACCTCCCCCAGCCGAGGGCAAACGGGGGCCTTTACTCCGTTACACAAGACCCCAGACCAGCGGCTCCCGACTTGGCAGCTTGGAAAACGCCGGCGCTTTGCTTCCACTCGGAGCGGGCTGGGGCTGGGGCTGGGGCTGGACTGCGGACAGATCCTAAGAGCGAGTCTCCTGCTGCCCAGAACTGGGAAAGGCCCTGCGGGACCCGCCCGGTCGTGGCGGCGCGGCGCAGCGAAGCCGAGCCGGGCCGGGC